GCACACACCAGTGATCTGCCTTCTCCACCAGGGCCCACTGCCTAACAGCCCACGCACCTGCAGTGATTATGCCTCATGAGATAAGTGCCTTCACCATCCAGTGACTTGAAATCCCGCCTCTGAACACAAGAGACTTTTGGGAGACATTTTTGGTCCAAACCATCACACATCCCAGTATCCTAACAGTGGACGTTAGGTTTCTTTCTAGCCTTTTGTCTTTGCTATGGATGCTGCTGCAGTGACTAGCCTTATGCATTTGCAGTTTTGTATTTAAATGAATACGTACTTCTTAGAATCATTATCCAGTAACCTGTATTTATTTACATACCTTCTTTAAAATCTGAGTTTGAATTGAAGCATTTTCCTCTAAGTTTCTTGTGAATTACTTTTTATTTTTTTGGTTCTGGGGATTGAACTCCGGACCTTGCACTTGTGAGGCAGGCAGCAGAACCACTGAGCTAAATCCCCAGCCCTTGTGAATTACTTTCTGTCATCTGTGTTTGTATATAACATTATGATTGACAGACACTGCTATTCTAATCCAGGCAGGAGGTAGTATTTTTTAAGCATATTTAGATTTGTAAGTATTATTTTGAAACATAAAAAAATTTCTTTTGCCATTCCTTAAAGTTAACCTTTTGACAGACAGATATTTTTTGCCAAAATGGTAACCTTTCACACCTGAATGGTAACCCAGACTCTTACTTTGAACATTCTGTGTTTGAACATCCATAGGCCATGATGGCATCTCTGCAGCTGCTGCCTAGGGGCTAATTTATTTTTTCCCTTGATTATAAGAAACATCTCAGTTTCAGAACTGGCAAAAACCAGGAGGGAAAGAAGCAAAGTAATTCAGAAAATATTGCTTGAGTGGACTTCCAGGTTATTCATTTTAGAAGAGACATCCTGTATATTATCCCCTTTTTTTCTTTTTTTTTTTTTTGGTACTGGGGATTGAACTCTGGTCTTTGAGATTGCAAGGCAGACGCCAGAACCACTAAGCTAAATCCCCAGCCCTTCAGGTTATTCATTTTAAAATCACTTAATTCCACACTTTCCCCAGTTCCCTACATCCTTTACAGTATAGTACTTCTGACACTTCTGTATTATTTCAAGTATTTTATATTGGATGAAGGTTTTATGTAATGTTACTACAAACACGATACATGTGCATAATAAATTCAGACTTTATAAAAACGTGTAAGTAGGGGTTCTCCATATTATTAATGTGCATATACTAACATTATATGTGTTTTAAACAAGTAGGTGTTTATTTAGTATATTCTGGCTTGCAAATTGCCTTTTTCTTGTAGTGTACTCTAAATTTCTTTATATGCAGAGTTTTCTCCTTGAAAAAAAAATCATTTAAAAAGGGCCATGTGGGAATCTTTTTTTTTTTTTTTTACTTCTCAAACAATTTTGTATAATTTTCTGATATGGATTGTTAGATGGTTTCTAGTTTGAGGTAGATGAGATTGATTTGTTGTATCTGTAACAGGTGACATCTTTCTGTGGGTCTGCTCCTAAGTTTTCTATTTACAATCTATGCATCTTTTCTCCACAAATACCACAATACACATTACAACAGACTACTCAACACATACTATGTACTTTATTCCATAGGCACTATTTAGACCCTTGGGAGATGCCTGTGAATAAAACAAGGATTCCTCTTTGGGATCTTCCTTGTGGAATTCTTATGAGAAAGATGATAAACAAAAATTGTAAGATAAATGATACAAGAAAATGTGGGGCTGGGGATTTAGCTCAGTGGCACTGCACCTGCCTTGCAAGTACAAGGCCCTGAGTTCAATCCCCAGTACCAAAAAAAAGGTGAGACGGTAAATGGAACCTGGGGAGATTCAGATTGCCATGGGTATAAGACTGAGTTTTATTATGAGATTTAAACAGAGACTCAAAGAGAGTGAGAGAGTGAGCTAGGTGGCTATGTGAAGAAAGAATATTCTAGGGAGAATAAACAGCCAGTATCAGCTATACTTGAGAACAGCAAGGAAGTAGGCATGTCTGGATCCAAGTAAACAAAGGGTAAAGAAATAGCTGAGGTCGGAGAAGGAATGGAGATCCATTCAACAGTACAACCTCATTTAAAAGTTATCTCATTAGAGAAAAACTTTTATCAAGTAATGGCACAGTAAAGATAATTTATACAAAATAACAAAAACTTACTGAGAACAGCTGTGATACTAATCTAGAGGTTTATGGAGTAATTAAATGCTGCTTTTAAGCCACTGAGTGGTGTTTTTCTTATATGGGAATAAAATTATAGTTGTGTTGTTCTGTTTTTGTGGTGCTAAGTATTACACTCAAGACCTTTGTACTGCATATGCTATATCCCTAGACCTTTAAAAAAATTTTTTTGAGACAGGGTCCCAGTAAGTCACTTAATTGCCCAGGCTGGGCTTAAATTTATGGTCACAAAATGCTGAGCTTATAGGTATGTACCATGGTGCTTGGCTTGCATTTATTATTTTAAAAATAAATTATAATAACTTTTAAAAATGATACACAGTTCTAAGTTTTACCGTATATATAGATTCATGCAATACCAGTAGTCAGTATATGAACATTATTTCTATGTCCCCCTAAAATTCCCTCATGCTGCTCTGTTGTAATAACCTCTACCCTCACCTCCAGTTCCAAGTACATAGTTTTGCCTTTGCAGGAATTTCATGTAAATGGAATTATGTAATTTATAGTAATTTAAGACTAGCTTCTTTCATAATGTCTTTCAGATTCATCCATAGTGTTGCATATAAAAATCATTCCTTTTTATCTCTGAGTAGAGGCCACTGTGTACCTACTATAGTTTGTTTATCCAGTCTGTTTAAGGATGTGTACAGGTTATTGTACTCTAATGCAGTTATGAATATAACTACAGTAAATGTCCATTATAGCTTTTTGTGTGAAGATAGATTTTTTTATTTCTCTGGTAAATAGCTAAGGATTGTTGTAGATATGACAAGGTTTACTGTAGAAGTTTAACAGTGCAGAGCTGCTACGCCGTTCTTTAGAGTGACTAGGATTTTGCATTTCTGCCATCAGTGTAAGAATGTTCCAGTTGCTCTGAATTACCAGGTTTTGTTGGACAGTCCATGGGTTCTGTGGTTGTCTCATTGTGATTTTAATTTGCATTCTGTGATGGCTAATATGACACTGAACATTTTTCATGTGCTCATTTACCACCTATACATTGTCTTTGGTGCAATGCCTTTTGAAATTTCTTGCCCATTTTTTAAAAATTAAATTTTCTTTATGTTGAGTTTTGAGAGTTCTTTACTCTAAAGTCCTTTGCCTAATGTATGATTTGCAAATTTGTCTGAGTTTATAGCTTGATTTTCTTTTTCTTAACAATGTTGGGTGTTCTTCATAAAACATTTTTATTTTGATTGATTGATATTACTAAACTTGAACCTAGTGCTTTTGCACTGAGCTACGTCCCCAGCTGTCTTTTTTTATTTTTTATTTTGAGTCAGGGTCTCACTAAATTGCTGTGTTGCCCATACTGAGCTCAGACCTAAGATCCTTCTGCCTCAGTCTTCGTGAGTGCTAGGATTACAGGACTGTATCAACCCTTCTTGGCCTATTTTAATTTTGATGAAGCCCAAATTGTCAGTATTTTTCTTTATGGATTTAACTTCTGTCATCGTGATTAAGAACTTACTGCCTCAGGCCTGCTTCAACCATTCTTGGCCCATTTTAATCTTGATGAAGCCCAAATTGTCAGTATTTTTCTTTCCTTTTTTTTTGTACCAGGGATTGAACTCAGGACCTTGTGCTTGGGAGGCAGGCACAGCACCACTGAACTAAATCCCTGGCCTTGTCAGTATTTTTCTTTATGGATTTAACTTCTGTCACCATAGTTAAGAACTCATTGCCTAACCTAAGGCCATAAAAAAATTATCCTGTTTTATCTTCTAAAAGTCTTAGTTATGTGATCCATTTTGGATTTGTGTGTAAGATGTATATGTTGTGATTCAGGGTTTTTTTCTTTTGTTCTGTGTATGGATGCTCAGTTGTTCCAACAAATCATTTGTCGAAAACATTGCCCTTCTTCACTAAATTGCCTTTTCGCTTTTGCCAAAAATCAATTGCTCTCAGTCCTGGGATGTGTGGCTCAGTGGTGCTGGTTCTTTGTTTTGTGGGATTGATCTATTTGTCTATTCTTTTGTCAGTACCACACTGTCTTGATTACTATAGCTTTATAGGAAATTTTAAAACCAAATTTACTCTTTTTACAAATTATTTTGGCTACTTGTTCTTTTGTCTGTTGGTATATACTTTAAAATTCTGCTTGTCTGTTTACCTGTGTCTTCAAAAACTGCTGTAATACTGATTGGAATTGTCTTAAACATAAAGGTCAGTTGAAGAGCATAGATATCTTTACTATGTTGAGTCTTCTAATCCATTAACATAGTGTAGGTCTCCTTTATTTTCTCTTAGCAGTTTTGTGGTTTGCAGCATCTGGATCCTTTTGTTAGATTTATGTGTAAATATTTCATTTTTGCATTCCTATAAATGGTACTATTTCAGTAATTTTTTTTTCAGTTGTTGTTAGTGCTAATTGATTTTTCTATGCTGAATTTTAGTTACTTTGATAAGCTTACTTAACAACTCTAGGGCCCAGCCAGACTATTTTTAAAGAAATTATAAAGTAGGAATGGTTTTACAAGTTCATTTTTGCTTTTTTTTTTAGATGAAATGTCAAATCTCTTGAATGAAATGAGATTTTCCTTTCCCCCCTTTTCCTTTAGCAGTGTACATAAATAGCCTCACTAGTAGTTAAATGTTTGTATGGCCTGGTGATGGAAGCTGCAAACAAACCAAAAAAAAAAAAAAAACACTAATTTCAAAGTCTAGTTCCTCCATCTTTGTAATTAAATAATATGACTAATTTTATGAAAAACTTTATACACAATCATAGATTTTTAACAGAAGAGGTAATGGTTCTTTTTCTTCTTTCTTTTGCTTTGTCCTGTCAGGTATTGGGAGAGTTGCTGCTACATCTTTAGGAAATTTAACTAACCATGGATCGGAAGACTTGCCCCTTCCCCCTGGCTGGTCTGTGGACTGGACAATGAGAGGGAGAAAATATTATATAGATCATAACACAAACACAACTCATTGGAGCCATCCTCTTGAACGAGAAGGACTTCCTCCTGGATGGGAACGAGTTGAATCTTCAGAATTTGGAACCTATTACGTAGATCACACAAATAAAAAGGCTCAATATAGGCATCCCTGTGCTCCTAGGTATTGACTTTATTTTTACTTTTCTGTTTTGAAATTGTCTAGTGTTATTTTTTGGGCTCATTTTTATCAGAGAGAAAGTTATCCTGAAACTTGAGATTTTAAATCTTTAAGTTTTAAACTTGTATTTTTCTCTGGGTTTATTTTTGGTAATAAATGACTTTAGTAATTTTAAACATACTTATTTTTTTTCTTTAGCTTTAAAATCAGGACCAGTGTTCTTGTGATCAGATTCTTTTAATATGCCAGTATTTTTGTTGTGGATACTGACACATTAAAATAGTAAAATATGTCTCTTCCTATTTAAGTTGCTATATACATCCAACCTACCTCCTAATAAATCAGAAGAGTTAGAAAATCTTGATGTTTTTATTTAATTGCAGACTCATTTATGTTCTGTTTTTTTTTTTTTTTAACTGTTCCCAGGTAAGAAAGTAAAATTGGGACTGGACAAAACATCCCACATGTAATAAATAAAGTAAATATAGCCAGCGATCCTTTGGACAATTTCTGTTGTTACTGGGCTAACCAGCAGATCTGGTTTATTGCCACAATTTAACCTTGTGCTAATTCTGTAGCCAGTTGTGTCACTTGTCACTATTAAGCACTTATAATTAATCCAAATTAAGATGTGTTATAAATGTAAAATAAAGCTGGATTCCAAAGTACCTATGAAGTAGATATTAGCTTACTAATGAACTGGCAAATCTTTCATATTAACCATATTTGAGCTTCAATAAGTCATAAGATTTAAAAATGAGTAAAATGTCTTTAGCTTGTTGGTAGATGTTGCCTAGCTTCCCTGGCATAACAAAATATTTTTTGGTTATAGTAGATATTTTTAAGTTATTGGAATCATTATGGGGCTGGAGCAGTGGTAGAGTCCTTGCCTTGCATGTGCAAGGCCCTAGATTAAATACCCTACACTGTAGAGCAAAACAAACAAAACTCATTATGAGAATATATTTAGTATCATTATCTGAAAGAATAAACTTTAGCATTGTGTTGCTTTAGTTATTTTACATATTTATTGATTCAGCTTTGAAAATTTGTTTTTCCAGTGATTTCATTTAATGGTACTCAGTCAGTGGTTACTGGATGTCTTCTTTCACAAGAACTGAACCTACCGTTATGCCTTGCTGTCAACAGGTGGCAGAGATCTTTGTGCACCAAATATGATTAGAGCGTTTACTTTTCTGCTCTTCATTAACCTCACAATATAAAATTTTTAATCTTACAAGGCATTTTCACAATTAATTGAATTACTACTCTCAGAAACTGTAGAATGTAAACAATAGTAAAACTTCAGTTCACATAAAAAGTATTAATAGCTGTTTGAGTCTGTATGTTTCACAGGCCTTATCTGTTTCAGCCAACAGGAGAAAGAAAACATCTTTTTTTGCTTTGAGAGAAACTATCAACTTTTACAATATAAATTTATAGCTAGTTAATAGTTATTGCAAAATTTGTGATTCTAGATTTAAACCTGTGTGTGAAAGTTAACTTAGCTACAACTTTTCTATAACCTATTAAAACTGTCCTTGAATAAATATCAGCCAGAAGAAATATCTTTAAAATATATAAAAGTTTAGCTTAGGTTTATATCTGGTAAAGAAAGCCAAGCCTTTGTCATAGAAAGGTACCTTTTAGGGGTGGAAGGTAGTTAGTTCAGACAAAAAGCATATGGAAGGATGCTTAGGGACTGTTTTTATAATTTCTTGCTTAGATTTAGGGCTTTTATCTTAACAAATGCCTATTCTGTCTTTTTAGTGTACCTCGGTATGACCAACCACCTCCTGTCACGTATCAGCCACAGCAGACTGAAAGAAACCAGTCCTTTCTGGTACCTGCAAATCCGTACCATACTGCAGAAATTCCTGACTGGCTTCAAGTTTATGCTCGAGCCCCTGTGAAGTAAGTGAAAATACAATACAGGACAGGCATTCTGTAGGGACTCTGAGCTGCTTAACCCAAGTACAGTAGTACGTTGTTTTTCTCCTAATAATATTGGGCTTCTAAGTAATAGTGTATTGACAAAAGGACATCAGCACTTTAAAAGTTTGATTGGAAATCCTAGTTCTTCAAACATTGAGCTTCAGTTCTTTGGATGCAGACCTTTGCTTTTAGTTATACAGTAAGAAACTTGCATTCTTATAGGAGATTAATTTGTAAAGTGATGCATTACTTGTGATAAAAATAAGAACCTATGTAAGTGCTAGGTACATGAGTGAAAGAAAGCAGGGCACTGCGAGATTAGGACTTTTTATTAGTAATTATGAATTTATATTAAGTAAAATCTTAAGCTTCATGAATGCCAGAAGTTCTAGGAAATACCTAATATGAAACTGTTTCTTCATGTAGGCTCATTAAGAAATTTTTCCAATTTCTGTTCAGGATTAGTTATAGTTTCCCAGCCCAGCATGGTGGCGTATGCCTGTATTGTCAGCACTTGGAAGGCTGAGGCAGGAAGATTGCTGTGAGTTTGAGGTCAGCCTGTGCTACTTAGTGACTTCAAGGCAAACCTGAACCTACGCAGTGAGACCCTGTCTAAAAAAAAATCAAAATAACAATAACAATAATAATAATAAAGTAGCTGTAGTTTCCCATAAAAGAGAACATAAAGCTTTCTACAAAGAAGTCAGTGCCTATTAGTAAATTTATAACTTTCAAGCAATTGAATAAAAGAGTCTAGTGGAATATGTTTACTTTGTGGTTTTGCATATTGTACTCCTAATGTTCCTGGTATGAACACTCCAGTTGGACATACTATTCCAAAGTCCAAGGATGTGGCACATGCTGACTGCTCAGTATGTATTTTTCCCCTTTTATATTATATAGATGATCCATTTAAAATAAAATAGTATGGGCTGAAGATTTGGCTCAGTGGTGCCACTGCCTGCCTTGTAAGCACCAAGGTCCCAAGTTTGATCCCCTGTACCAAAAAAAAAGGTGAATAATTTATGAGAGAACCATTGGGTAGGACATACTAATAAATGGTTTTTAAAAGCAAACTTACTAAAATTTGCAAACAAAGCTCTTACATCTGCTCTGCAGTGAGTTGAGAGATAACACCAGTATTATATAGGTATACAACTTACTGTACTTCAAGTTCTTTCTCAAGTCTTACTTTCCAGTCTCATCTTAATGAATATTAACATTCATATTCCTAACAGTTTCTTGGTCCACAGTTCTCTTCCTTTTTTACTTTTTAGTCAGTAAACACTTGCAGGAGATAAATAACCTCTTTAGATGTCACTTTTTTTAATCTTTAAAATGAGAAAATACTGCCTCGCAAGCGCGAGGTCCCAAGTTTGATCCCCACTACCTAAATAAATAAGAAATTGAATCAGAGTACTGTCTCATGACCTTTTTCAAAGAATAATTTACTATAGTAGGTAGTTGCGTAGTTCCAACTTAACATATGATCCACATACCATTGGAGGAGAACTAAAGGCTTTCCGGAATTTATGTAAATTATTAGTTTTGGTTTTGGTTTGGTTTTTTGGTGGTGTGTGTTTGTTTGTTTGCTTTGTGCCACAGATCAAATTCAGGACCTTGCACTTGCGAGGCAGGCATGGCACCACTGAGCTAAATCCCCAGCCAGTAAATTGTTTTTCTGTGAGTCCTTTGCCACACTGTGAAGTTTTCTACAGTCTTATTTTTTTTTTGAAATTTATTCCCTCTTTTCTTAAGATTTTTTTTTCTGCAAGGTTATTCATCCTCTGGAGTGCTTGGCCTGAACTAATGATTCCTCCTCGTTCCTCATTCTCCTCTTTGTTTCCTTGTTTGTTGCCCGTGACACAGATGACTGGCCATTTTTATGCATCATCATTTGCAAGCACAGTGTGGGTTGAGTAGTCTTAAGTTCTTCACAGAAATCATAGGACCAACTGTAGTTCGGCGTTTGTGTGCATGGTTGTCAAGTATTTGTAGTAGAATAACTGATACTTAATAGAAATGGATATTCTTTAACTCGAAGTAATATAACAGTTTTCCTTAGAAATGGTGTATGTAGTCAGGCATGGTAGCATGCACCTCTAGTCCCCACTATCTGGAGCTGACCAGGAGGATCACTTAAGCCTGGGAGTTTGGGGCTGGCTTGGGCAGGACCCCAGCTCAAAAAAAAAGATTGAAATACCAAGTTAATAATTCAGTTATCTTTAAGCTTATAGTTTGTTTAGTTATAATAAAGTTAGTACTTGTAAAAATATACTACTTATTTCTATAGATACGTGCTTATGTATGTGTTGTGAATGTTGTGCTTTAAAACAGATATGACCACATACTGAAGTGGGAACTCTTTCAGCTGGCTGACCTGGATACATACCAGGGAATGCTAAAGTTGCTCTTCATGAAGGAACTGGAACAAATTGTCAAAATGTATGAAGCCTACAGGCAGGCTCTTCTCACTGAGTTGGAAAATCGCAAGCAGAGACAGCAGTGGTATGCCCAGCAGCATGGCAAGAATTTTTAAGTTAACTTTTCAAAAGAAATTTTAAATTTTATAAGAGCTTTAAAGTATTTTCACAGGCTCAAGACATGCAGACAAATACCTTCATTAACAAAGGCAGCTTACTTTTTGAAAATTATAAAATTCTAATTTTACATGTATTTTGTCACTAGAAGTTTTCTTTTATTATAAAATGGGTTTATTATTCTAAGCACCAACATGGTATATACATCCAGATGCTGTGTATTAGGAAACTGCTTTGAATAGTCTTGATGGAGAAAAATGTGGCAAGAAAATGTCATAACCATATATTAGATTAGGAATGATCACTTGGTGACTTCCAGCCGCAGTACCTTTCTTTAAAAGAAAAATCTATGCAGTATTTTTAAAATGTTTACTGCTTCAGTGTGGAATGTTACCTGGAATGGGATGGGTTTTTTGCATATTATCATGGTCTAGTTCAAAATACAAAATAGGATTTGGAACCTTTATTGTGATAAATTTCTGTGTATGATGTGTGCTGTGACCCCTTTCCCTGCCAAGGGTAAGGGACCCTTTTGCAGCATGTTGAGATGATCTTGCAGGAATAAATTTCAGCATAGGCCGTAGCCTGGGTGGAGAGGGCATGTGCAGCTCTGAGGCAGGGCTGGCTGCTATGAGCTCAGCTGCAGTGAGGAGGCAGCACCGGGTGCCCAGCAGCACCGCACACCGTCTCTCCCGCCGGCTAAGCTGCCAGGCGTGACAATCAGGGATTCCATGGGAAATCTTCGCCATTAAATCAGTTTTATATTACTTTTTTATCTTCGAAGTGTTTCTGTCACAGAACTTTTAAAACCATATTATTTCCTTCCCAGTTTCTTCCCTTTGGTTTATATTAAAATGTTGTTCATCATTAGAACAGTATATTTGATTACGGACAAGTATATGATACTTCCAGCCTGTAAATCTCTAAAATTCTGTGAATTTCATAGCTTTTCAGTTACATTTATCTGAGCTGTAAATACATGTAAATACGTTTTAAGTTTTGGTAGTCTTCCAAAATATAAAGCACTCCCAGTTAGACATAAGTGGGTTTGAATTACTGATAAAATATTGTATTTGATTTTATATAACAACTTTATTAAATATATTTTTGTGGAAACTAAATGTGTGGTGTTTGAGTCTATATTTTACATATAGCATACTTGACTTTTGTGTTCAGAAGGCCCATTATAGGCCAGTGAAGCAGTATAATGAAAGGGTATTGAAAAATTAAAGAATGGCTAGTGGAATTCTTACCTGTTACTTAGCCATTTCTAAGACAGAAATTACCATTTTGCATCTCCCAAGTAAGCATTACCTCTGTCATTACCAACCCTGCCTCCACTTTTTTTTTTCTGTAAGAACTCTGCTTTAATGAAGCTCCACCAGAGATTTTAGTTATTAAAAATACATTATAGAACCACTCATTGGTTTAAAAAAAACAGGAAGGTACCTAAAGAGATTAACATGTTTCTTAAGATGAAAACTAAATGCATCTTGAATAAAATGAAAACAATGCATCTTGAATAAAAAAGGAGGTAAACTTTCATCATTCTGTATCAGTACCTCACAAACATTTCCAAATTCAGTAAGCATTTGTTTTAATGTTAGGAACCAGAGTAAACTTTAATAGTTCACATGTTAAAAGAATAAACCTATGAAGAATACATCTGTGTACCAAATGAAAAAATATACAGTGCAGTGAAACTCAAATACATATACAAAGCGATTTTTTTGTGCATTTTTGATCAAGAGGTTTATATTCTGTATTAAATCATAATATAAAAGAAGCATATACAGTTACTGGTAAAACAACAGAAAAGCTCTTAAATGTATTTAAAAGTAACTAGTAGCTGATGGTAAGTGTAAGATTATATATATAGGTTAAATCAAGCTTGTTGAATGATGATGCTGTGCTTTAACAACTACATGAAATCATTAAAAATTTTTTTCTGTAGAAATTAAATGAGCATCTCCAAACAGAGTAATACCACTACATGGTTTAATATAACCAGGTAGGAGAATTTAATAAATTCAAGCAGAACACATGTACTCTCATCATAAATACACAAACACCTTAAATTATAACAGCATATTTAAAGACAAAAATCAGGAAACTGTACATGTTAACAAAATGATAAAACCATGCGTACATCTGCTTATTAAACACGAGTAAAGGAACAACCTTAATGCAGTCTCCAGAGGTGTTTGGTATTTTATTCTGTTCTCATGGAAGCACTTTGAATGTTTGCATGGAAACAAAAAACGATATTTAACTGACAGCTGGTCATGCACTTCTATTTTTAAAATTTGGATTAAATTTTCTTCTTTTCTGATTGTTCAGTAACTTCTGACTTTGGTGCAGGAAAAGCTTGATGATACAGATGTCTGTGGGTTGCTGCTGCACTGTAAAGCTTGTATAAAGCCTAGAATACAAAAATCAGGATTATAAACATTTTATCAAACAAAACTTTTCCCTTTTATTTTATTAAACTATAAAATTTAGTGTGCTGAATTTGGAATATTTTATACCATCACTGTATTTAAGACATTAATTATTTCTGACTTCTTAGCATGTGTTATCTCTTGTGATCTTCATGGTAAATATTTTATTCTCAGACCTGCATTTCCTTCTACCTTGTATACCTGCTGGAGCATAGCTTCCCAACCACCACACCTCAGTCTTAGATAAGTTATAAAAGCTTGCACCTTCTGACTGTCAGTATGTTCTCCAGAATGGGACCGGTTTTATTCTCTGTTCTTTCTGGATATGGTCAAGCACCTAAGCACACATGCTCCCTCTTCTCCCTCCCACCCTTGTATCCCTGGCTTCAATTACTTGGTTTGTGTCTTACAAAACCTTTCTCAGAAAGGTTTTCCTCATTGAAATCTCTGTAATAGTGTTGGAATCCTAGGAATTTTTAAAAATTCTGTATTGTTTTATTTAAGCCCCATAAGTATGTCCCCCACCCAACTCGTGAGTCATCTCTGACTTTCAAATACTGAGCACTCAGTTCTTACTAACCTGTTTTAGTTCTATAGTCTGTAGAAAGTTCTTGAATATTTTTAAGAGATGGGTAAAAGCTTCATATCCTTTAAATAGTAATCTATTCCCAAGAAATACCATTAATCTTTTCTATCTGTGAGTCTGTTTGGCTGTTTTCTTTTAACAAAGTTAAAATTTGTTTTTGCCTTTTTAGTGGATTTTTGCTGAGTTTTACATAAAAAAATTTCTTACTGGGCCAGGGGTTTAGCTCATTGGTTTGCCGCCTGCCTCACAAGTGCAGAGTCCCAAGTTCAATCCCCGGTACCAAAGCAAACAAACAAAAAATAAAGTAATTTCTTACTGACTTGTAAATGTTAAATGTATGATTGGTATTTGATTGGAGGACATTAATCCAGTGACATGGTATAGTAGAAACCAAGGAAAGAATTCTGTGCTATTTCTGTAGTTGCTTAAAATCAGGCTTGCTTCTCAGAAGATAATAACCTACATGATTCCACAGAGATCATTTTCCTTCGTGTAAAAACTGCTTGCTTTCTGAAAGCCAGATCGTTTCCTCACATGCACAGTTCTGCATTCATAGCATCACGGGAGAAGAACTGAACACTGGTTTGGGGGCCAGCACTGAGGTACCGGTGGCAGCAGGGAACCTGCTGTGGGTAAAACTGCTCAAAGCCAAACTTAAAAACAACTCAAGTTACATCTGTATCTTGAGTAATTAAATTTACTCAAGCCTTGTAACTATTTGCTTCACTTGGCAGCTTAAGAACTTTGAAATTTTCTATATGTTCAGGAAACAAATACTCTCATGATCAGTTCTTTTTTTGTGTGCAAATAAAGATATATAACTTAGACATGAGTAGTAACTAAGACTAACCTACAGTACATTGATACCTTTTAATGCCCACTCATTTGTAAAATAAAAATATTGCAATGTTAATAAATACACAGCTCTTAATTTTTAAAAAGTTTAACTTACCTCATTTGTACTTCCCTGTGGCAAAGGCAGTTTAAAAAGAAGAGAAAAGTATATATTGGGCTTTATTAATAGCAGTAGGATATTCAACTCTGTTTATATTAATTTGTGAGCATTTAAATAGAACAAATATGCCTGCAGATGTTTCAGTTTAGAGTACATATTTTATCAAAATATTTTTACAAATAAAATTCTGTATTTCTGATAGATTTCAGCATCATATTCTGGGAAAGTTTTGAGATTTATCTCAATAGCCCATATTCAACTTTGGGTGATGGAGTGTTTCAGACGATGGGTTAGAGGACCCAGTTTTCATTTCTCATCATCAGTTTATCTCAACTAGATTTAAAGGCATACATCAAGGCCATCAGTTTCAACTCTTTTTGTGGAGTATACACATACAGATGTTCAGAAACCTGGGAGAATTGTACCTATACCTGGCTACCTATGTTCAGAAATCTTAAATCCAACATTTTATGGAGAATCTTGACTTTAACTTCATAAAATTTCCCTAAATTTTCATAAACTGAAGACACTTCCAGAAGGACAGTGAGTCAGTCGTTCTGGGTGTATTTATAACTGTCTCTTCTGTCCCTAGTCAGTTACTTAGTGTACTACGGTGGCCCTGACTCCCTCTGGAATGGCTGATTAGACCAGAAAGGACAACCGACTCTGAGCATCTACACCTGAGGCTGACTGCTGGCATATGCTGCAGCTTAAGGAGAAAGTCTAGCTCAAAGACAGCCTGAAGTGAGTTAATACTGCTTTCAGGAGTTTATACTAAAAAGGAGTGGCAGAATGACTTGGGGTAGTTTACGTATGTTCCTAGCAAAGTCAATACTAGTCAAATGGTAGATTGATAATGTCTTAACACAATCGGCTAAATAAAAACTTATACTTTTAGCGCTTTTGCACATCTGAAGAAAAAAAAAACACCATTTCATCTGTGTTTTGTTTTGTTTTTTTTTGTACCGGGGATTGGACTCGGGTCTTTGCACTTGCAAGGCAGGCCACCGAACCACTGAGCTAAATCCCCGGCTCATCTGTGTATTTTTTAAAACACTGAAATAAGAGGGCTGGGGATTTAGCTCAGTGGTTCCACTTCCTGCCTTACAAGCAAAAGGTCCTGAGTTCGATCCCCGGTACCAAAAAAACAAACAAACACTGAAATATGAACTGAAAAACAGTGGTGTAGGACTTCACATATTTTATCTTGTCATGATGCCAGATTGATTTTTTTTTTTTTTTTTAAGACAGGGCCTCGCTATGTAGTTCAGACTGGCCTTGAGCTCACTATGTAGCCCAGGCTGGCCTCAAACTCATGGCGATCCTTCAGCCTCAGCCTCCCAAGTGCTGAGATTACAGGCGTGCGCCATCACACCAGCTTGCAAACATTGTACAGTTGAGAAGACAGACCCAAGTCCTATTTATCAGTATGTTTTTCAACATCTGATGCAATGCCTGTTACACAGATAACACTCAAATGTGTGCTGAATTTAACTGAAGAAAATTACGAGTGTTCCTACCTGGTCCCACAAAGCTGCGGCCACCTGGTCGATGACTGCACCGAGCTCCCGGTATTCTCCGGAGTACCGGATGTACGCCCAGGTGCACAAGGTGATGAGAGTCAGTCCCATGATCATATTGCACAGGCTGGCTATGATGTCCAAGCCAATGAATCCAGTCACCCCAGCAATCACGTACGTGATAAAGATGACGACAAACAACGTGGCCGGGGTGCGAGCTGCATGGAAGATATTTTTGCTATCATTGTGCTTAATATACTGGATGTAGAGTTCATCTATTTCACTCTCCAACTGCTGCAGGTAACGCCGGCTAAACTCTTCCCCACCCATCTTCTTCACCCCTCGGAAAAGCTTCACAGACTCTTCTTTAAGCTGCAGGTGCTTGGTCTGCAGGTCATTAGGGGCCAGAAATGGTTTGTCACCTCCACAAATCTGTGTCAGATAGACAAGTATTTGTTTATGCAATGTAGAATAAACTAACAACTATCAAAATGTTTATTTAGCTAGTTGAGTTTTGTTTTTTGTACCAGGGATCGAACTTGGGACATTGTACTTATGAGGCAGG